AAACTATTGATCAGATAATGTCATTCGAATACCTCGGATGCAAAATTACAAGCTCAGGATTCCTGGAAGAAGAAGTAAGGAAACAAGCCAATAAAGCTGCCGCAATATCAGGACATCTTAAATATCCCATATGGAAAAACAAACATTTGAGTACAGAATGTAAGTCAAGAATATATAAAACCTGCATACGACCAGTGATGACATATGGTGCGGAAACCAGAGCTCAAACAGTAACAAAGAGAATCCTACGAACTACTGAAATGAAGACCTTAAGAATGATAACTGGATACAGATTGAGGGACAGACAGAGAAATGTAGACATAAGAGAAAAGTGCCAAACAAACGACGTTGTCAGATGGATAAGGCAGAGAAGAAGAGAATGGAACCAGCATGTCAATAGAATGGGCCCCGACAGAAAGGCCATAATAATTCGCAACAACGTACCCCATGGCAGAAGACCTACTGGACGACCACCTAAACATTGGCAAGACAGTTGGCAGTCAACCTCGCAAGAGTTGCTTAGACGAGGAGGAAACCGGAACTAAACAGGCGATACGGCTTCTAAAAGAAGAAGAAGAAGAGATCAATTAAAAATATCTTCAATATAGCGGTACTTGCGGAAATGCCGGAAGTTGACAGCAACTTTCTTATTTTAAATGGGTGCCACCATTTTTTATTATATACTTAAGTTCTCTGTAGGATTTTATGTCAATTTTGATATCAAACACTCTATATCTAACATTAACCGTTTTTGAGAAAAAAATATTTAAAATTAAAAAAAAAACTGTCTGCCATCAAAATATGAATAGCCTAAACGCCAAATTTAGTGATTACGTCAGTCACTGTGACATAAAGAGCAGATATATGGCTATCTATTTCAAAAATTGACACAATAACCTATTGGATGAGTCTCTATTTAGAGACTGAGAAAAGAATAAAATGAAAAATAAATAGATGAGATCAATGTGTTGCGGACAGATTGCTCTAGACTTGTTTATTCGGTGCGGCCAACGCAAAAAAGACGCTAAGCAAACTTTATCCTATGATGTATGTTTAAGTATTTGTTTATTAACAAGAAAGCGTATCGGTTTTTTGTTACAAAGTACTGATTGGCACTTCGATTTTGCGCCCCCAAAATGTTGCGCCTACGTGCGTGCACGCACTGCACGCTCGCCAGGAACGGCCCTGTATTTTACACTACGTATTGTAGTGAATGGGAGTATAAGCCATAATGTTTTCCTTTGACCTTGGTTAATAAAAATTTTAACAATAAACAAAATCGTGGATATCTTTGATGTTAAATTAGTCTCGTATGCTCCTACTTGATTATCTTCTCTAAGCATTTTATTGATCTAAAAATATTCATTTCTACATTACTCATTAATTACAGTTGTTTTAATCTTTCTGTGTACTTGTTCCTTATTACATTTAGGACTGGAGAATATAAGCTAGAGATCAAAAGAGGATGACAATATATCTGAAAATGTCGCAGTGGAATAGGCCGATAACTATCTCAAAAATCTGATCTACTTTATACAAATTGTATTTCAAGCAGATTAAAGATGTAATATCTTTCAGGTCCATGCAAGCACCTAAACGTAAAAATGGCATATAAAAATATTTTGATAGACTGGCTTTATTTATTTTTTCGCAAACATAAACTAAATCACCATAAAATTTTTAAACTGTTGAATCAATATGCATATGAAAATATAATCTTCCTCCGGTTGATCGTTAAATCAAAGCAGATCCAATTTACGGTGCCGCATAATTCTGGTGTAGGAGATTTTCATGCAAATAGTCCCCTGACCAACAAAAACAACAGTCTCTAATCAATATTGGAAAAATACAATACTGTGGTGCATATTAAAACTGTGATGAAAAAAGACCTTTTCATGCAGAGGACAAATGCAAACGTTTGTTAAGCAATAGTTAATCAAAAAGCCAGAGAGAAACAATGATAATCGCACTAACTATAAAACTGAATGCTAATAACACAAGCACGATTCATTGAAATCATAAAAGCTGCATAATCTTGCAGTTTTGGATTCGCATTTATTTACTAAATTTTTTAAAAAATTATATGAACTCAAAAAATATTAAAATGACTAAATATTATACTACTACAATATAAAGTCGTCACTACTATTCTACTTTTTGTGAAAGTTAACTCCTCTTGACATTGACTTTTGTATTTCATATTCATATTCAGGAACTCTGTCGTTTCTAAAAATATAAATTCACTGAAGAATGATTCACATTAAGTTACCAATACAAAATAAATTTTGCGGCGCAGCAACACCAGTCACAAGAATGGCTAGAAAATAATGGGTGACCAACAAATCTCTAGAATAGTGAAGAAATTCACCAGGACATGGACGGGCAAAACAATCAGGATATTCACCAAAATTCACGGCAGTCTTAATAAGCCAAAAGACCGTTAAAGCTGTGGTGGGCCTACCAACAAAATATTTTAAGGTTAATTAAAAACATATAAAGCTGATGTGGTTGGCAGATGAAACCATGTGCCGATTTTAGCATTATTTTAGGCTCATTAGCATATTTGGAAAAAGCATTTTTTATGAATAATTTGATACCACACACTTCCCATACAGCACGTCCAAATGAAATTACGTTTCTACAAGGGAGACACATGAGACACAAAATATGTTAAAGTGAACCTAAGTGTTCATCTAGTTCTAACATATACATATGAGATACACGCAAGTTTATATTGATAGAATTGTGTGATACAGTGTTTACTAGTTGTATACCGTATGCACTCAAGATTCTAAAGAGTTTTTTGTAACGTAACAAATAATTATTAAAATGATGAAATCTGACGTCGGTATATGAGACATACAATGTATATGTCATATGTATGTGTGATACTTCGTATCATAGTTGTGCCTATAGTACACACCTTGTAAAAATGTGACGTACACACATAATATAAATTTCTATATAGACACTTTGTAATAGTGTACTGTTGTGTCTACATTCTAGCCTGAAATGAAGGTGTGCGCACGCGCGGATAGCCTCAGCGTAGACACACCAACCAAATGTATCTTATGTGTTCTCTCTCCTTTCTTCTTTCTAGGAGTGGTATGTGTTAGCAGCCATTATTGTTTTATCATTCGGAAGCTCTATATAAATGTTCTGTTTGTGTGTAGTTTAAAAGAGATTTTAAGGTAAGCAAAAGTTTTTAATTACCTTGTTACACCTTCCTAAGAGTATTATTAATATTATAGCAGCTCTTCCCTTACTCGATATCCAATTTACCAAATTTTTACTCCAATGAATGAAAACTCCAAATATTCTTGTATAATGATAAAGAGGTAGCTCTGCAATATATTTTTTTTTAATTTGGAAATAATAAAAATCTAAATGGACCAGAGAAAGAAAGATTTAAACACTTCAAAAGAACTTCTTACACTGATATTCGGTAAGTTATTGATGGATCAATATACAGGTATGTTTAATATTCAATAATCAGTTTCATATAAAATTTAAGGGTAAGATTGTCAATCTGAGATTGTTAATCTCGACGAATGAGTATGCTAACAAACCAACTGCTTGGAGGAAAAGAAGATAAAGAAAATGACTAAACGAGATCCACCAAATCGTCGCGATATACCAGTGTTTACCATTTTAGTATGTTGTTATACTAGGTACTTATATTTTAATATATTTTGATACAAATTCTGTTCTTTTATGCTGCTTTCTTACTTCTGGTTTCTGCAATGTAAATAATGATTATTATTGTGTTATTTGCGCTAATGCGTTCCATGATATAAATTTTATAAGAATTTTATTTTTAACCACTTAATCCGTTTTATGGAAACATTTAATGCAAAACAAAAATGGAACAATTTTAAGGCTACTTCTCTTGAACTTACGATCGAGATACTTTTGGAAAATACAAAGTTTTGCCTTCCTATTTTGTTCTAAAAAATTTAATTGGTATCATTGAATAAATATTTCTTAAAAAGAACGAAAATTTAGGCATCAAAACTTGTATTATTTCCTAAATTCGTTCATAAGAAGTAGTTTTATCTAGCACAAGATATACATACGAAGCAAAATACATACATATACACGCAGTAGTCACAACTGCAATGTGTAAACAGAGTTTAAACGTAATACACAAGCACTGTGTATCCTACGGCACACTGTGTATCCCTTACTTTGTGTATACGTAAAATGCTATACTGTGGCTACATTGTGAGGCGGACGTTTAACCTTTGTGCATACGTGTTGAACTACAATGTGTAAACGTATCATATTTACATCGGGGGAATTGTGTCACCCTGTGTCTACATCTAATAATGTAAACACATCGTAAATGTGATTTGATGTGCTGTATGGGTTGGTATTTCGAGTCAAATTGTCGTTATCAACCGCATGTTACAATTTCAATTAATAATAATAATAATAATATTCTTCCGGTGAAACCGGAAGCGACCGAAAACAATTGAATATGTCAATCAATCATAATTTATGTCATATACTAACATACGAAATCTCGTTGTTTTATCTGATAAAAAAGTTATAGGTGTGAGCCACTTTTAAGACGTACCCGGTATAAGGCTCAAAAAAATTGAATAGCTGCGGGGATGTCGTAAAGGACAAATACTGTTAGGAGGAAAAAAACTGAAAAAGTCGTAGTAAAACAGGCCTAAAGCCACCTAATTTAAAAAAAATCTAATCTAAAATATAACTGTTGTAATAAATATAATTCAACTGATATAAAGATATAAATATGAAAGGTGGCCAATTATTATTACATCAGGTAGTTTTAAAACAGATAAACTAAAAAATAAGTAAAAATAAACAAGGTTTTTAAAATAAAGACAAGGCGAACAAAAACAATCAACATTTCATGCATGCGGGTACCGTTGAAAATAATAACTAAACCGTTGTGAATGAAACTCTGCAAATAAAAGTAAATCAAAATATAGAAAAATATATGACAGTGAAAAAAAAAAAGATAATCTTACTGTTCGTGCATCAGCTGCGGTAATAATCAGCATGCTTTGGTTTCTATCCGTAATACTGTCACTCACCCTTTTGTGATTGTCTGGCAAATTAATACTGCACTCATTGTCGAATCGAAATTGACTCTGAAATCATACAGAAGAACGAATTAGTAGGCTCTAAATCACTGGCCGTTCAACTGAAAATTACAGTCCAAAAGCTGTATTTAAAATGTTATCAGCTCGTATTATTACACAATTGGGGTCAAGTTTCGTTTAGCCGAAATCTGTTAAAAAAGAAAAAAACAATTTTTTTGTCATTTAGGTACCTCAGGCAGTATATTACTGAAAAAATTTTGCCGCGGAAACGCGTCACCGTTTTTTGAATGCGGTTTAAAAGTAACGAAATGACATACATGAAAAATTAATGTTATTTCATATTTTAGACGTCTTTGTAAATACTAATACGAAAATAAAATTCCGCGGAAATGCGCTGTTGCCATTTTTTTGAATATGGTTCACAAGTAACGAAATGAGATATATAAAAAACTAATATTATTTTATATTGTAGACTTATTTTTAAGCACCGATACAAAAATGAAAATCCGCGGAAATGCCTTGTTTCACCACTATGCAGTGATCTTCTTCCCGACCTTTGACACAGATCAATGAATATTATCTATTCTTATCAACTTAATATCGCTATGGTCAACAAATGCGAAAATTTAAAAACAATTGTCAATAAAGCATAAAAACGACAACTAAACCAAACCAACTAAAACCAAACCGAAAGTATGCAAAATAGTTGAGAATACTATGGAAAACTTAATATTGAAGATTTTCCATTACACCGCCCTTATGATAGATTTCCGCGGAAATAGTTATATAGAAAAGTTATAGCAAATTATTAATCAAACAAAAATATGTAGTTTTTATCTTCCTATCACATTTCGGCACTTCTAAACCCGGAAAAATCAATGAAAATTATTGTGATAAAAATATATTTTCGAATAAAAATTAGATCACATTGTTATATTAAATGTTTTTACGTCATTCTATAATGAAAAAAACTATTAAAAACACCGTAAAGTTTTAAATTTTAGTTAATAATAGAAAAATTAAAAATTCGAGTTTACTCAAAAGCAAAGAATTTCCGCGGCAAAAATCAAATTATGTAGTGCTAGTTTTCTTGTATAGAATCATCCTATAAACCCATATTCTATATAACTGATTTCGGCTAAACGAAACTTGAGCCCACAATTGCTATTCTCACAATTAAATATATGAAAAGCAGACTAATATACTATTTATATATTTCTTCTTTCTGTTTCGATAATCATACAATTTTTTTTCTGGGCATGTTTGAACTTTGCGGCATTTAATCATAAAAAAATTGAGTATCTGATATAAGTCAATAAAAATAACGAGTTCCGTTTTAAAAAATATTGTGCTGGGTGAAATCTATTTAATTTGACAAATAAATAAAGCTGTCTCTCGAAAAATTCTCTTTCGTGTCGATTGCGGATTGAATTGGAGCCAGACATGGCTCAAAACGAAATAAGTAAATTACCAACAGATATTCAGGCTGAGGCGACAAACGCATTATCCGAACTACTTTCATTTAAATGCCGAATAAGTTATGAAAAGAAATACAAAAAATTTCAAAAATGGAAGCAATTAAAAAACGTGCGAGAAGAAATAAAGTTTTTAACCTATCCTCGCTTTTAAAGCATCATTTAATCTACCGTTGTGGTTAAAGTACTATTTTATCTCTTTGAATAAGAAGACTAAGGAAGGAGCATAATGCTATCCATGTATTCATGCATGGTGGGCGGAAAAAGCGCCATAAAAGCACTCTAGGGTGGGGATCCTTGACAGTTCTGTTTGACGATTCATTTGACACATTTGAATTTGATTTGAAATTTTGTGGATTTGTCAGTCTTTACGGAACTTATTTTATGTTATTTATTATTTATTCTACTACTGAGAGTTGTATAAAGGTAGTAAATCTAGATGGAAATTGTGGCAGAACTTAAATTAACAGTGACACTATCGCGATTTATCGAAAAAGACTCTAAAATAGTTGGTTGTGTAGCGTGCGGTAGATCTCGGCAAAAATTGAGTGAAATAATGGAACAACTTTTCGCTAGTAAGTGACTATATAATATACATACGTGTAGTAAACCGATCATTTATGAAATTCACTTAAATTAACTAAATTATATATTTTTCTTGCATTTTAGCTTTTATTTATTACTTGTCAAAGATTAGATGTCAAAGAATTTAGATACGTTAATTTGACTTACCTGCTTCAGTAGCGTATCGGATGTTTGTGTTAATAAATACTTATAACTTATCTATTTTTATTAGAATTATATATTTTTATAACAATTTTAATAACTACCAACATTTATTCACAACGTAAAATAAAACAACAAATTATTGAGTCTACCCCACGTCTACCCTACATCATAGTTTTACATTTTTTAAATAAAATTAGAACGACACTGATAAACCGGAATTTAAGTCGGCCATATTTGAGGCCCATCGCGGTGTACCTAAGATTTTTGATATGCTCCTTCCTTAGTCTTCTTATTCAAAGATTTTATCTACTAATTTTGATAGATATAAGACAATTTTAACAGTTGCTATGGAAAAAATAATAATTAGGTATCTATAAATGTAAAAATATAACAAATCTGTTTCAAACTTTGAGAATACAACAAGTTTCGACGCGCCATCGCCATCGCCACGTCATAGAACTTTCGACGGTTGTTAGATTATGGGCGATAAGAAACTTTGTAAGAGTTCTCTTCATTACCCGAGTTGTCGTTTACTAAATCGAACTTACAAAGTTGAGCAGAACTTTAAGGGCTATAACCGGCAGATATGCGTTAAAACTTTATTTATAATAAAACTGAACTTGTTACGTTTCATAGAATCAAATTATATTCCTTAAGTAAATTGCATAAATAAAAGAAAAAATCTTGATTTTGTATTATAATCAAGTATTACGAATATCCATTCTCAAAGTATTTTCTTGAGAAAATTATGGCATCTTAATTCCCGTCAATAATATCCCAAGGGAGTTACGACTTTATTTATGCTTAACCAAACCAACCCAAGACACGATATAAGATTCAGTTCATAACAATTCAGTAAGAAATAAAATATTTTATACTCTTGAGAAACAAACAACTTGGGAACAATTCTTTGAGACAATCAAGATAAACATTAAATAAATAAACCACTTTATTTCCGACGTATTCATAATGATTTTATTTTATAAAGCTAATTAAACTACTTGTAATTTGAAAATTTAATTTAATTTCTGTAGATTCTTTGAGATTCCCCCCTGCTTTTCAGAGAGACAATAGAGCTAATTACTGGTTTAAATTTTTCGGTCAATAAGTTCACCAATCAAGAACATTTTTCTTTGAATGCTTCATTCCGGTTCTCTATACCTTTTTAAAGGTATAGAAGAAAGAAAAAGAAAGTACGAGAGATGTAAAAGGGAAAAAAGGGGTTAAAATTGCGTTATTAGATTACCGAGAAAATTATAGTTTTAGATGGACAGCTGAGATGGCTACATAAAAAACCTTATCATCGTTACATGGCTAATTTATCTTGTGAAGTATCCTTTTGAGTAGCCATTATGGCTGCCAGCGCGATCCCGGTGCCTACAGCGGGGGCGGCCAATCGAAAGAGTGAATTTTTGACACTAAAAATATTACGAGGCACACGAGGTATAATTGCCAAATAGCTTTTATTTATTATAAGAAACGTGGAGAATTGTTGGCAGACATTTTTCTCGTGGAGGCATGAAATTTTGACAAAAAATATCATCGCCTACATTTATTCCGGTTGGTGGAATGTCATATTTATTTATTTTAAAAGTCGTATGCAAAAGGGCAGAGTCAAAATTTCACCCTTTCGATTGGCCGCCCCCGCTAAAAGGATACTTCAAAATAAAAATTAGCCATGTCACGATGATAAGGTTTTTTATGTAGCCAGCTCGTAGACTATTTCTCGATGGTAAAGAATCTTTTTCAGCAAATATTCCACAAAAATCGAAACAAAAATTTAAATTGCATCATAATGTTCAAACTGTGTGTACCAATTTTGAGCTGAAATACTGATTTCTTGTCTTTATTTTTTGTACATTTTTAATGAGCTGCTAAAAGCCGGTTATTAAAAATAACACGGCCCTTGAAAAACATGCAGACATGATTCATTACTCTTCGTTTAACCAATTAGTTTAATTAATTTAGGTGATTTTTTTGGATTAGTTCCTGAAAGAGGCAGAAAAATTAGAAGATAAATGTAATACCATTAATTGAAGCTTTAAAAAAATGGTCAAATACGAACTTTTATTATTTATAAGATTTTTTTTCATAAACGTGGGACTAAGAACATCATCATTTAGTACAATGAGAGTACTCATCATTTGTGTCAAATAAATCTAGTTTGAATAAATTGCCTGCAATAAAAGAAAAGTTTTGGATTTTTGTCCTCTAGAGCCATATGTTCGAAGCAGCGTGACGGTGGCGGTACGTTATAGTGAGAAGCGCGTAAAGGATGCTTCACGCTATACCGTAACGGGTCCGAGCCGTGCGTCGGTGAAGACACGGCCAAAAATTGTCAAATGTTATTTATACTTATGCATTCATGCTAAGCCGAGCACGGTCCGAGCTTCGCCGGAACGCGTCCGTACACCGTCCAAGAAATGTCGGTGTACATTTTTCCTCGGATCCGCTACGTTCCGGCCCCGTTGCGGCAAACATAAATGAGCCGCCGCGGCTAAATACTTCGTTCGTCTACGGGCCTATAGCGACTGTTTTCTAGCAGTGTTGCCGCACCCAACTTTTAGCGCGTACCACATTATAAACTAAAAATGTACCACTTTGGTACAAATTTTTAAAGCACAACAAAATACATCTGCAAATGACTTTTACCGGTTTGGTCGTTGTGAATTTCTTCATAAATTTCTACATAAAAAAACTTCCTAGAGAAAGACACAAATCGAGACGAAAAACATGAAATAGAAATTCAGAAAACCCAATTATAAGTATGTATAGGTTGAAGAAATGTAAGTAATTCTAATACTACACACGATACTTGGAAAACTTAAATTTTATTCAAAAAAA